CCTCCTCCCCGCAGCCCCCAGCAGCGGTCAGCGGGTCACGGCGACGCCACCGCAGTCCACCTACACTGATAAATCAAGAGTTCGATCGGTAAACACGTCGCTGTGTTATTTACTGCAAGCTGCACGTTCTGGACCACGGTTCTCAGTTTGTGTTATTGAGCACACTCTTACCAAACTGTGGAAAGTGAGCTCTTTCCAGTTTCCAGTGAGGTTTAACTCTTAATGATTGTACAATTAAAAGTATTTACTGGCTGAACACTTTGATTGACCAGTGTAGAGGAACAGGCACAGAGCCCACAGTTTTAAAAGAAATGAACTATAAAAATTATACCCCCACCCCCCAGAAAAAACAGTGCGTGAAAATGATACAGACATAAATGTTCTGTTTGTGTGTTCTAATCCCTGGGCACGATTAGTACCGTTCTTCACTCGCTAGAAAAGGAAGCGTGTCCACGGGGACCGCGACGGCGACGCGCTCCCCAGAGACTTGACGCCGAACACGCCGCGCTCCGCCTCGCCCCGGGGGCCGACCCCTTCCTCGCGGCGCGCTAACAAGCAGTGAGCCACCGCTCAGCCCGGCGAGGGTCCCACGAGGCCCAGGCAAATGTGCTGCCGGCCCGGAGCAGAAGAGGAGGGGAGAGAAGAGAAGAGAAGAGAAGAGAAGAGAAGAGAAGAGAAGAGAAGAGAAGGGAAGAGAAGAGAAGAGAAGAGAAGAGAAGAGAAGAGAAGAGAAGAGAAGAGCGACCTGGAGCAGGATAGTAGTCGCGCCCACCTAGCTCTTACATGGTGAGCCAAAAGAGAGTCGTAAAAAGATGAGGGAATCACTGGTGCGAGAGGGGTGGTGGATGGTAGTGGGTGGTGAGGGTAGAAGGGGTGAGGTGGCTCCTCTACGGCTCCAAAGGGAGGCGGTGGCAGTCTGCTTACTCGGCGCCATTAACGGGAACCTTGAGAACGACGCCAAGATTATGCAAACGGCCGTGTTGTTGTTGCTGCTGCTGCAGGCGGCATTGCCAATCGGGAGCGGCCGAGTGGACGTTTGTGCTGATCGTCACGAAAACGGCGGGGATCGTCGTCGCAGCTCGATACCCCGCCGCCCAGCTGCGCCTCGAGGGGTGGAGTACTTCACCTTAAATTCAAGATTTTCAAAGATTTTTCTGATTTTGGTTAACTTATTTCCTTGATTGATTTATTTTTCTGATTTTTCTCCTGGTTTTTTCTATTTGAAAAAATTATGATTTTGTACGTATTGATTTCTTGGGAAACTCAGTGTACATCAGTACCTCCTTGAATTTTTCTGGTTTTTCTTTCCGATTTTTTTTTCACCCAGATGATTTTGGTGCGCCCCTCGGAGCGTTGCAGTGTGCGGGCCAAACGGAGTAGATGAATGCACGCGAAAACCGGCTTGTTTCTTTCTG